GTCTGCCTGTCTGTCTGTCTGCCTGCCTGCCTGCCTGCCTGCCTGCCTGCCTGCCTCTACACACACACACACTTCAAAATGTTAAACCATGATCTATGTGAAGTGGGATGCTTGAACAGTGTACTTATATTGAGATATATATCTATATCTACACACACACACACACATACACACACACAATTCAAAATGCTAAATCATGATCTATGTAAAGTGTGATGCAGGTGATGCTCACCCCCTTAGCACCATGAGTTGTGCCTTGCTGATGGTATAGAGCACAGCCTGCAATGCAGATCTAGACTAAATCTAGATTTAGTGCAGGAGAGGAAAACTGCTTCTGAACAGGCGTTACCAAATTTCTATTACATTAGCTTAAAAAGGGCAAATCTCTACCTACTGCACACAGGAAGGTTTGTGGTTTTTTGGCCAGCCTTTCTCAATCAGGTGCCCTTCAGCTATGGTGTGATCAGAATTCTTCAAATATGCACTTCAACATGGATTGACAGTAGAATTGCTCTTTAGAACAGGCTTTTTCTTACAAAGATCCCAGCTTATACGGGATCAGATCAGATTCACTCAGCTGAAGCAACCAAGTGGAATATTTCATACTCCCATGTAAAAGGTCACATTATTGTTTCATTTCAGTTATGAAAAAGAGAGTGGAACATTTTATGGAGAGAAATTCTTGCAAATGCAGCACCATCCTTTTTAAATAGCTGCCAGCATTATAAACTTGTGCGTGTGTTTTGTTTCATATGCAAAACTGTTCTATCACTCTAGCTGTAGACTACCATTGGTTGGTACAGGACATTGTTTTTTCTCGCCCCGCAACCTTTAGTTACTTGACTCCTGTGCACAACTGGAAATGAAACCAGTTTAAGAAACCTCTTTCCAAATTTCGCCTCTTTCCTCTACTTTGGCCATGGTTGGCCGTGTATTCTGTCCATGCCATGCTTACTGTGGCCCCCAACTGGAGGATTCCCTTTCTTCTTTACTCCTCCCACCTCTGCTGGGAAAACAAGCACCAACTGCTTTCTTTCCAAGGGGGTCTTTGAGGATATGAGGTTTTTACTGACACAGCTTGTTGTATGAGGCCCTCTTCACTGAATCCCCCTTGTTCTTGGCCTCTTCCTGTCTGATGTATCCATCAGTAGTTTGGGAAAAAAGAAAAGACAACAATTTTATCATTCTTCCTGTCACCTGAGCTAGAATGTGAAAGTACAATAGTAATGGTAATAGCTATATTTATCATGATTCTATAACTAAATGTATTACAGACATAGAATAAAAATAGCAATTCATACTAGCAAAAGTCTTATCAATTTCACCTTGTGAAAAGAAAAGAGAAAACTCCATCTTTCCATCAGAAAAGAAAAGAAAAGAAAAGAAAAGAAAAGAAAAGAAAAGAAAAGAAAAGAAAAGAAAAGAAAAGAAAAGGGAAG